TTCTCACCTTTATATAGCTTGAACCATATAATATAAATTTTCTAACCCAGTGTTTACACAAGACAAATATTTGTAAATCAGAGTTGTATTTTAGTACCTTATACATACTAAGGGTAAAAATACACAAAATGTTTATTTGACTGACCTTAATCATAGGCTGGCTTCTCACCTTAAAGCTCATGGTAGAGTAAAAAGGTATGGTAGAGCTATCAGCTGATTGCCCCGACTTCTGCCAATTTTGTGTTTTTTTTTTATTTATTGTTTTGAAAAATAAAAGCAAAAAATTTTAAAAATTCTAAAAACCAAATACTTTGCCGTGACAAAGCAAGAAAATTAAGCAAAGCGCTGACTGTGTTTTTTTGCAAAGAGAGTAATTTTCGTTATTAAAACGGGGTTAATTCCCATATCCGGATTTTTGTAACCTACTGTTCTACGCAAAAAATTATAAAAATTAATAAAATAAACATAATATAAAAAATATAAAGTACTAATATTTGTAAAAGTCAATGAGTCTCAACGGTAATGTGTAAATGTCGCAGATTCATACAATTGAAGAAGAATACATCTACCGGTTATCAATTTCTGATAGGTTGATATTTTGACTTTTAAGGATTGCAAACAAATTTTGAAATTATTAATAGTTTTCGGTGCATGTACTTTGTTTACAACATTTTACTGGATTTGACGTATAGACAATGGAATTGACAGTTGAAATCTACTAAATTTAGTAAGTGTAATCGTGCGTGTAAGCGATTTTTTTTTAAATCTACATTGGCAACCCTTTATTTCTAACAAGGTACCATGGCAGAAGAATACAGGTAGATGCATCAACACTTGGGAGCATTGATATGTCAAAATTATTTAAATGTTTTTTCAAGTAGATTTTTATATGTTTTTTATACGACGTCATTCGGAGGTTATTATAATTTGCGTTTTTCAACAATTTTTACAAATTTAAATAATTTTTCATTCAAAATTTTCAATTCCAAAATTGGTTTGACAATTCATTGTCCCAGCAGCTGTGTCGATGCGTCTACCTATATTCTTCTACCATGCAAGGTACGCAGCTGATCATCTAGATTAGTTGTCAAAATACTTATTGTGACTGGAATCACAGTACGAAAGATCAACAAAACTTAAACCATGAAAATAGGGCTCGCTGTGATCGAAAACGGAAATGTCATCCATATATCACACGCTATGTGCAACTTCAACATATGGAAAATTTGACACTAAATATCATGGTAGAAGAATATAGGTAGACGCGTCGACACAGCTGCTGGGACAATGAACTGTCAAACCAATTTTGGAATTGAAAATGTTGAATGAAAAATTATTTAAATTTGTAAAAATTGTTGAAAAACGCGAATTATAATAGCCTCCGGATGACGTAGTATAAGAAAACATATAAAAATCAACTTATATTTGAAAAAACATTTAAATTTTTTTGACATATCAATGCTCCCAAGCGTTGATGCATCTACCTGTATTCTTCTACCATGCTAAATATGTAAAACTCATCTCGTCTGATAGCAGCTTTATTGAACTTCAAATTGGTCACTCCCCATTGAAGTGATGTTACCATCTTTATTCTACCATGAAGCGAATTGTAAAAAAATTTAAATTATCATCCAAGCCTCAATGTGTGTCCAATAAAATTAACTTTATCTAATCGATTTGTTTCGCTAAATGTATTTTGATTTAATTTAATTCCCCCTCCTTGTTATTGTTGCAAATTTGCAAATTTCCTTCTTCTATTTGCCATTCGCCGGATGTGGTTGCTGTTGTTGGTATTCTTTTTTTCCCATTGCGGTGGATTTTTAATCATTTAATTATATTTGTATTTACATTAGAAGTTTACCAACTAAAAGGCGTTTTAAAAATAATTGCACAACTGTAATAACACGCACACACATCAACACAGTTTCACACACACACAAAAGCCCACACACATGCAGTGTTTTACTTAGAGATTACTTGCTGCTGAAATGGAACTAAAAATGTTGTTATTGTTAAAAAAAAAGTTTGAAAACATTTTTATGTTGGGGAAAGTGAAAGAGGGTTGAGGGTTTGATTCAGTGGACTTTTAATGCAAAACATAAATAACTCTTGTGTTTGTTTGACCTGAAAGATTTTTTTTTTTTTGTAAAATCAACATTTTCAGGTTACTTTAAAAATATAAATAAAATAAAAACAGTTTTAAGAAGTTTATGTAGTGTATAAAAAAATGTGTTGGCAAACACTTATGCCAATCAATTTCATTCAAAGTGGAGTAGAAATTTTCAAATAAAAATCTTGGAAATAAAGATGACTAGCTTAAGCCATAGGCTGGCTTCTTCGTATAGGAACAAAGTAATTTTAGGTTAACTTAGTTTAATTTTGGCCTCCTACGTTCCTTTTTTTCCGAAGAAGCCAGATGATGACTTAAGGGTGGAAATACATAAAGCACATATTTGGCTAGCTTAAGGGGGGAATACATAACGCGCTTATCTGGCTGGCTTCTTCGGATATGAACAAAGGAGCCTAGGGCCAAAATCGAACTAAGTCACCCTGAAACTCCTTTGTTCATCTACGAAGAAGCCAGCCGATGACCAAATATGCGCTTTATGTAATTCTAACCTTAAGTCATCGGCTGGCTTCTTCATAGATGAACAAAGAAGTTTTAGGTTAACTTAGTTCGATTTTGGCCCTAGGCTCTTTTGTTCAATTCCAAAGAAGCCAGCTTACAAGCGCTTTATGTATTCCAACCTTAAGCCAGTCAAGACAGCGTTTTATGTATTCTCACCTTAAGAAATTTCAGATTTGGGACCACTTAATACAGGGTGAGATAAAAAAAAACTGCAAACTGTAATTTCAAGTTTGAAACTAACAATTTGACACTAAAAAATACCAAAGTGTCGATCACCTCAAGCAAGCGCTTCGCCGGAAATTGACCAGAATGCCGCAGAGCAACATTCGGGCAGCGTGTGGCGGTTTCATTGGCCGTTTGAAGGCCATAATTCGTGCCACAGGTGGCCAATTCGAACAAATCTAAACTTATTCTAAAATTTGATGATAGTTTCGACATTTTTTGCTTTCATTCAAAAAAAATTAAAAATTATGGCCTTTGACATTGTTGCAGTTTTTTATCTCACCCTGTACAGCCCGGAATCTTAGCCTCTCCCTTGAAGGTCCCACCTCTCTTGTCTGCAGTCTTAAATTCCCATCCCCTTCATATGTCTTCTTCTTCTTTCTGTGGCCAATGATGTCATCCTTCTCTGGCAGTGCCATCTTGCAGACCTTGGACAGTTTTTCGTTCCAGCGTTGTCAACGTTCATAATTTCCCATCACTCCGATTCGTCTTTTTTTCGCTTCACCATTTCCACTAGGCATCTTCTTCTTCCTAACAACTTGAGCTTCTTTCCGCATCTTATTATACCAGCGACGCAAATCGCCATCCTATTTCGTCTTTATCTCGCTGGCAAACAGCTAATTCTTTATTTCTGGCATGTTCCGTTTTCACGGGGCTAAGACATCTTGGTTTCTTTTTCACTTCGATGAATCACTCCAGCGTTGCCAACGTTCATAATTTCCCATCACTCCAATCTGTCTTTTTCTCGCTTCACCATTTCCACTAGGCATCTTCATCTTCCTTACTACTTGAGCTTCTTTCAGCATCTTATAATTCCAGCGACGTAATCACCATCGTACTTCATCTGGCTGGCGAACAGCTAATTCTGGATTTCTGTCTCGTTCCGTTACCACGTGGCTAGGACATCTTGTTTTCTTTTTCACTTCGATTTATAGTTCCAGCCTTACCAACGTTCATAATTTCCCATCACGTCGATCTGTCTTTTTCTCGCTTCACCATTTCCACAAGGCATCTTCCTAACAACTTGAGCTTCTTTCCGCATCTTATTATTCCAGCGACGCAAATCGCCATTCAACTTCGTCTTCATCTGGCTGGGGAACAGCTTATCCTTGATTTCTGTCCCGTTTCGTTTCCATGTGGCACGGACATCTTGGTTTCTTTTTCACTCCGATCTGTCTTTTTCTCTTTCACCATTTCCACTAGGCATCTCCATCTTCTTAACAACTTGAGCTTCTTACAGCATCTTATTATTCCAGCGACGCAAATCTTATTATTCCAGCGACGAAAATCGCCATCCTACTTCGTCTTTATCTGACTGGCGAACAGCTAATTCTTGATTTCCGTCCCGTTTCGTTTTCACGTGGCTAGGACATCTTGGTTTCTTTTTCACTTCGATTTATCGTTCCAGCCTTTCCAATGTTCGCAATTTCCTATAACTCTGACCTGTCTTTTTCTCACTTCACCATTTCCACTAGGCATCTTCATCTTCTTAATAACTTGAGCTTCTTTCAGCATCTGATTATTCCAGCGACGCATATCGCCATCCTACTTCGTCTTCATCTGGCTGGCGAACAGCCGTTCCGTTTCCACCTGGCTAGGACATCTTGGTTTTTTTTTTCACTTCGATTGTTCAGTGCTTGAAAATTGTCCTTTCCAGTTTTAGGGACTTCATTCTTTTTCTTCCCCAATGTACTTGAACTTCGGTAACGGAATCTTCTACTTCAATTTTTAATCTTTGCTGGCACAGTTGACGGTACAATGATCTGTCAAACCTATTTTGGAATTGAAAAATTTGAATGAAAAATTATTCAAATTTGTAAAAATTTTGAAATACGCAGCCGATGACTTAAGCCATTCCAAAAAAGCCTTTTATGTATTCTCACCTTTATTGCAGAAAAGAAAGATCTTTCCTCTATAAAATACATTTGATATTGTAGGAAATAGTATCCTCTCTAAAATGGTATTGACATCAACAGTATATGCCTAGAAATGACTTTTAGAATATTTATTTTCTAAAAATTCCTCTTTAAATATCGAATTCTCTAAACCAAATTTTTGATTTACATTTACAAACATTTAGTAGCATCAACCTCATTCACCTCGCACCATAAAAATACTAATAATAATATTACCGCCAATCTTATTCCAGCTAACATCCAGGTAATCGTTATCTTCCACTAAAATCGCATGCCTCGAGTCATCAACTAACTCAAAATAAAACGACTTAGAAGGACAAAGAAGCAAAAGCTGTGCAGAAAAACATCGGCAACAACATAGACAAAGACCAACGAAAACAAAACAAACAAAAGAAAAAAACATCTACCATAGCTACATTTGGCCGCCGCAAGTGGCAGACAAAACTAATGGCAAGGACAAGACACCAAAAACTACAACAACCAAGGCCACATCATGGGAAGGGTAGCGGGCGCCAAGTTCTAGTGAATTTTTGGACACCATGGATTATTGCAGCACTGCTGGTTGCCATACTCGGTGGCCAATTGGCGGCTAGTGCTGGTGTTGATGCTCTAAGCAACAGCATTTCACTAAACGGAAACGGAAATCGGTTGCAGCAACAAGAATTGCCGGGCATTGAAGCAGCAACGGCAGAGAAACAACTCAGCCACCACCAGAACAACGACGACAATGCTAATGACGATAATCAAAACGATGATGACGAAGCTGATGTCAGCATTGGCAGGGAGCAACTCAATTATGTTATGGTAAGTAAATATTTATGTAAATTAGATCAACTTGGATTAACTGTTGTTGTTGTTGTTTTTATTCTTTATGCAATTTACCACAAAGTGCCATGATAATCTATTTACTTGGCTAAATTAATTGATAAAAAAAGAGAACAAAGAGCAAGCAATACTCAAGGATGTCGTCTTCTAGAAAAAAAGAAGAACCAATGAAGGTCTTCTTTTTTTTGTATTTTCACCTTAACACTTTAAAGGTGCAGATACAAAAATAGCTTCTTTTAACGTCGCAAGTCATTGGCTGGCTTCTTCTTAAAAGAGCAAAGGATTTCAGGTTGACTTAGTCCAATATCGGCCCATAATTTTTTTTATTATCACCTTAAGAGAAGATAAGTTAAGTTATAGCAGCCAGGAAGCTCCCCATCTTCCCAGCCGGTCTCTGTTAAAGGTCCCATCTTCTTTGTCTCCCGGTTTCAATTTCCAGGCGGAATCCCCTTCATGTGTCGTCTTCTTTCTTCAGCCAATGATGTCATCTTTGTTTTTCTTTGTTTTTCTCTGGCATCGCCATCTTCCAGACCTTGGACAGTTTATCGTTTCAGCGTTGCCATGTTCATAATTTCCCATCACTCCAACCTGTATTTTTTCTCGCTGCACCACTTCCTCTAGGCATCTCGATCTTCCTAACAACAGGAGCTTCTTTCAGCATCTTATTATTCCAGCGACACAAATTGCTATCCTTCTTCGTTTTCATCTGGCTGGCGAACAGCTTATCCTTGATTTCTGTCGCGTTCTGTTTCCACGTGGGTAGGATATCTTGGGTTTCTTTTTTACTTCTTCTTATCGTTCCTATCACTCCGATTTGTCTTTTTCTCGCTACACCACTTCCACTAGGCATCTTCATCTTCCTAACAACTTGAGATTCCTTCAGTATCTTATTATACCTGCGATGCAGATGACCATTCTTCTTCGTCTTCATCTGGCTGGTGAACAGCTCACCCTTGATTTCTGGCATGTTCCGTTTTCACACGACTAAGACATCTTGCTTTCTTTTTCACTTCGATTAATCGTTCTAGCCTTACCAACGTTCACAATTTCCCATCACTCCGATTTGTCTTTTTCTCGTTACACCACATCCACTAGGTATCTCCATCTTCCTAACAACTTGAGCTTCCTTCAGCATCTCATTATTCCAGCAATGCAGATGACCATTCTTCTTCGTCTTCATTTGGCTGACGAACAGCTCATTCTTGATTTCTTTCGCGTTCTGTTTCCACGTTGATAGGGTATCCTGCTTTCTTTTTCACTTCGATTTATCGTTCCAGCGTTGCCTACGTTCATAATTTCCTATCACTCCGATCTGTCTTTTTCTCGCTACACCACTTCCACTAGGTATCTTCATTTTCCTAACAACTTGAGCTTCCTTCAGCATTTTATTATTCCAGCGATGCAGATGACCATTCTTCTTCATCTCCGTTAGGCTGGCGTACAGCTCATCCTTGATTTCTGTCGCGTTCTGTTTCAACGTGGGTAGGGTATCCTGATTTCTTTTTCACTTCGATTTATAGTTCCAGCATTGCCAACGTTCATAATTTCCCATCACTGCTATCTGTGTTTTTCTCGCTACACCACTTCCACTAGGTATCTCCATCTTCCAAACAACGTGAGCTTCTTTCAACATCTTATTATCCTAGCGACGCAGATCAACATTCTTCTTCGTCTTCATCTGGCTGGCGAACAGCTTATCCTTGATTTCTGTCGCGTTCTGTTTCCACGTGGCTAGGATATCTGGGTTTCTTTTTCACATCTTATCGTTCCAATCACTCCGACCTGTCTTTTTCTCGCTTCACCATTTCCACTAGGCAACTCCATCTTCCAAAGAACTTGAGCTTCCTTCAGCATCTTATTATTTCAGCGACGCAGATGACCATTCTTCTTCGTCTTCATTTGGCTGACGAACAGCTCATTCTTGATTTCTTTCGCGTTCTGTTTCCACGTTGATAGGGTATCCTGCTTTCTTTTTCACTTCGATTTATCGTTCCAGCGTTGCTAACGTTCACAATTTCCCATCACTCCGATCTGTCTTTTTCTCGCTGCAAAACCTCCACAAGGCAACTCCATCTTCCTAACAACTTGAGATTTCTTTAGCATCTTATTATTCCAGCGACGCAGATGACCATTCTTCTTCGTCTTCATTTGGCTGGGGAAAAGCCCACCCTTGATTTCTTTCGCGCTCCGTTCCCACGTGGGTAAGGTATCCTGCTTTCTTTTTCACTTCGATTTATCGTTCCAGTGTTGCCAACGTTCATAATTTCTACACTTCAACCTATCTTTTTCTCGCTTCGCCGCTTCCACTAGGCTTCTCAATATTCGTGAGCTTGGCCATTCTTCTTCGTCTTCATTTGGCTGGCGTACAGCTCATCCTTGATATCTGGCATGTTCCGTTTTCACGCGACTAAGACATCTTGCTTTCTTTTTCACTTCGATTTATCGTTCCAGCGTTGCCATCGTTCATAATTTCCTATCACCCCGATCTGTCTTTTTCTCGCTGCACCACTTCCACTTGGCATCTCCATTTCCTAACAACTTGAGCTTCCTTCGGCATCTTATTATTCCAGCGATGCAGATGATTATCCTTCTTCGTCTTCATTTGGCTGTCGAACAGCTCATCCTTGATTTCTGTCTCATTCCCTTTCCACGTGGGTAGGATATCTTGGATTTCTTTTTCACTTCTTCTTATCGTTCCTATCACTCCGATCTGTCTTTTTCTCGCTGCACCACTTCCACAAGGCAACTCCATCTTCGTAACAACATATGCTTCCTTCAGCATTTTAATATTTCAGCGACGCAAATGGCATTCCTTTTTCGTCATCATTTGGCTAGCGTACAGCTCATCCTTGATTTCTGTTTCTACTACTTTCTTTCTCACTTCGATTTATCGTTCCAGCGTTGCCAACGTTCATAATTTCACAACACTCCGGTCTGCCCTTTTCTCGCTGCACCACTTCCACTAGGCAACTCCATTTTCTTAACAACTTGAGCTTCCTTCAGCATTTTATTATTCCAGAGACGCAAATGACCATCCTTCTTCGTCTTCATTTGGCTGACGAACAGCTCATCCTTGATTTCTGTCGCATTCCCTTTCCACATGGATAAGACATCTTGGGTTATTTTTTACTTCGATTCTTCAGTGCTTGAGAGCTGTCTTTCCAAGTCTTCGGGACTTCATTATTTTTCATCCCCAAGTTCTTGAACTTCAGTAATGGAATGTTCTACTCCAATGCTTTCGTCTTTTGTGGTATTTTCTGTTATTTCCGCAGCGGACTCATCAGGTTCTGCTTCAGCCACTCTACGGACCTTCTTGGAATAAAGGTGAAAGTACATAAAACGCCTATTTGACGGGCTTAAGTCATCGACAAGCTTCTTGGCAATAGAACAAAAGGGCCAAAATCGAACTAGCCATCCTAAAACTCCTTTGTTTCTCTACGAAGAAGCCAGCCGATGACTTAAACCAGTAAAAAAAACGTTTTATGTACTCTCACCTCAAGCTAAACCCTCCGAAGGTAGTTTCACTTTCTCCTTCAAAGAATTCAAGCTCAGAATACATTTTGGATTCATATGATCACACGCTTACAGAGTTTTCACACACGACGCCCTCTCACTTTTTTAAACCCTTTTCTTACACAAATGAAATGCAAATTGTTTATAAATTTCCATAGAAATAAATAAATAATTACCATAAATAACTCTTCTTTCCACCACAGCAAAAATCGAAAACTCAATTACTTCCCAACGGCGATGGACACTTTGAGGATGATGAAGATGAAGGCGAAGATACAGATTTCAGAGGCAATGGATTTGGCTACAATTTATTGAGACCCCAAATAAGCATGGGGTAAGTATAAGAGAGCGAGAGAGAGAGAGAGGGAAACCACCTTTTTAATCATCATCTTCTCCCTAGCTCTCCTCTGCGTAGCCTTAACATTGTGAAAAGAGCACCAGGTGGTTTTGTGGGAATGCGTGGCAAAAAGAGTACCGAAGGAAGTAATGAAGACCTTAGTAATGTCTACAGCAGCAGCTTGGCATTTCCATGGCAAACCATACCAGACTTCGATGAGAATGCTATGAATTGGGAAGACTATATTCAGGCGAATGCCCAACGTTATAAAAAAGCTCCGTCTGTATTCTATGGTGTACGGGGTAAAAAATTCACTTTGGGTGGTGGCATATATCCAGGCGGTGATGCCTATCGTTGGCAACAATTTCTACAGAAATTGGACGAAGAAAATGTTCGCCACATGATTGTGGATGATTTCGTGGATCGTTTGGTAAACGAACCGCACACGGATACTGGGGCGCTGCAACAACAAAATGAAATGTCGAAACGAGCACCAACCGGTTTTACGGGATTGCGTGGCAAACGTCCTGAATTAACAGAAGCCGGTGCTGACATGTCCCTGGAATTGTTGGGTAAACGTGGTCTTAGCAACACCTTTGTGGGAGTACGCGGCAAAAAGGATGTATCACATCAGACCTTTAAACGTTCACCCTTGGCCGGTGGTTCAGAGGTAGGTACATGTTTCCGCAAAAGAACACCGATCCGATAATGACTGGCAATTAATGATTGTAGCGTTATTTTTTTGATTTTTGGAAAAAGTCTTCACCGAACTCGGGACCTGGTGGTAAACGTCAACGATTTCTGGATTTTGGCAATAAATTTGTTGCGGTCAGGGGCAAGAAAAATTCGTTGAATCAAAATAGCTATGAAATGGAGAATTTGGGTAACAACATTAGATGGACATATTCGCCAGTGTTTTCACCCATAACGCCAGCCTTAAACGCGAATGGTGTGGTCACGACTGACGGGTCTTCGATGCGTTTGATGTATGGCAACACTGGCAAGAGAGCACCCAATGGATTTGTGGGTATGCGCGGCAAACGACCATCCAGCGTAGGTGAGTGAGAGGCCAGTAAAATATGTGGGGTGGATTTCCATGGTATAATAATGGGCGGTTGAAAATCCTAACTCCATGGCAGAATTAAGAAGGAAACCTTGTGCTATCATATGCTTACAATATTTTCAAAATAGAAAGGTGAGAATACATAAAACGCTTTTTTTAGTATGGCTTAAGTCATCGGCTTGCTTCTTCGTAGAGGAACAAAGTATTTTTAGGTTGACTTAATTCGATTTTGGCCCTACGCTCCTTTGATGTTTTCCCAAGAAGCCAACCGATGACTTAAGGGTGGGAATAAATAAAACGAAATGATTAAGCAAATGAATAATGGAACCTAAGGCGAACTAAATCAACCTAAAAATCCCAAGACGAAGGTAGAATTAAGGTGAGAATACATAAAACGCATTTTTGACTGACTTATAAGTCATCGCTTTTTCGGAAAAGAAGAAAGGATCTTAGGGCCAAAATCGAACTAAGTCAACCTAAAACTCCTTTATTCCTTTGTATATTCGTAGAGGAACAAAGAAGTTATAGGTTGACTTAGTTCGATTTTGGCCCTACGCCCCTTTGTTTTTTTCCGAAGAAGCCAGCCAATGACTTATTCCAGTCAAAAAAAGCGTTTTATGTATTCTCACTTTAAAACGCTTTTTCGATTGGCTAAAGTCATTGGCTGCCTTCGTAGAGGAACAAAGGAGTTTTAGGTTGACGTAGTTCGATTTTGGACCTAGGCTCCTTTGTTCATTTCTAAAGAAGCGAGCCGATGACTTAAGCCAGCCAGATAAGCGATTTATGTATTCTGATCCTAAAACCTTTGACAAAAACTCATTGATCACACAATTCAGAGATTCAATTTGACAATTACATTAACGACAGAACTGGATATTATTATTTGAAATGAGGTTACCTTCAATAAACTTTTCCTTAGCAAAGTTATGGTACAATTAAGGTAAGAATACATAAAACGCTTTTTTGTCCGACTCATAAGTCATCGCTGGCTTCTTCGGAAAAGAAAAAAGGAGCTCAGGGCCAAAATTGAACCTAAAAATGCATTATTCCCCTGTATATTCGTAGAGGAACAAAGAAGTTATAGGTTGACTTAGTTCGATTTTGGCCCGTTTTATGTATTCTCACTTTAAAACGTTTTTTTTACTGTCTGAAGTCATCGGCTGACTTCATCGCAAAAGAGCGTAGGTCCAAAATTGAACTAAGTCAACCTAAAACTCCCTTGTTCCTCTGCGAAGAAGCCAGCCGATGGCTTAGCCAGTCAAAAAAAAGGCGTTTTATTTATTCTCAACTTTAGGTCAAACAAAAAACCGATTTATGTATTCTCACCTTTACCTTCCACATTCAGCCATGGCATAGACATTTTGACAATACGTCCGTCTGGTTATTGCTACCTAATTTAATAGCGTTTCATTCAAATCTATCGAAACTGTTTTAATATAAATCTTCAATTTTTATTTTCAGCCGATCTATTTACAGCCAATTAAATCAAGGGGATAACTAAGACAAGCTGAATAAAAAATATCGAAATTTACAAAAAAAGGGAAATTATTGATTTTTGTGTATTTATGTATGTTTGGCCTCCATTATATTATACGATCAGCAACAACAACCTGACAAAATAAAATATTTATATTATACACAAACATATATATATATCACATAACTATATATCAAATACGAATACCAACAAACGGACTATGTATATTGAATAAATTTAGTTATTAACTAACTATGTAGTAAACCAAAAAAAAAAAAACAAATATGCAGACATTCTAAATAATCTCAAAAACTGGGCTGGTATTATTTAGAAATGTTGTTATAATTTATACATACTATATTAAATAAATAATAAAAGAAAAAAAAAACTAAAAACAAACATATGATTTTTATTGTCTTCAGTTAAAAATATCAAAAAAAAACTTTATTAGTTTAACTTAACTAAAACTTTATATTAATAAAAAAATATATATAGTATATACACTAGAAGTTTCCTATATAATGCATAAAATGCAAGAGAAAAATTAACAAAAAAATAACTGGTTAGCCATTAATCTGAAACAAAACATCCACCACCACTGTAACTAAATATGAAACTTAAGTAACATATGAAAACATTGAAAAAGAACGAAATAAAAAAACACACTTTGCACAATTTTCCATTTACACTGTATATAAATAAGGCAATCGTGTAATTAAATCGAAAAATTAATCATATTTTATGTGAATTATTAATGTAAACTGTCAAAACCACAAACTAAACATACACTACATATTTACTTATATTAATATACATACAATACAAAAGGAAACTAAAAATAAATAGATGAAATAAAGAACAAAAGAATACTTAAAAATGTCATTTTGTTTGTGTATTATTCAGTCTTTGGCTGGCTTCTTTTGAAAAGAACAATTAAGCGTAGGGCCAAAATCGAACTAAGTAAACCTAAAACTCATTTGTTAAAATACCTAAAATGGTAAAGACTAGACAAAATGCATTCTAAGTATATGGCATGGTAAAATTAAGAAGGTAAAGTCATTTCAAATAAGCATTCCTATCTCTGCATTTTCTGTAATTTACCTTTTCACATTTCACTACATAAAAACAGGTTCCCATCTCTGGTTTGTGTATGTTAATCGATTTATAAATACAAATTTTGACAATGAGATGTTGTCAAATGAATAATTTTTGAAAAAATTGTAAACAGATGATTGCATAACTTTACCTCCTTGGTTGTACCATAGTATATGGTTTGTGTCTATACTATATAGAATAACAGCTCATGACAGGACCATGTTAATATAAAAACCACATTTATAGAAAAAAAAATGAGGGATAAAAGTTTGAAAAATCCAAAAAGAGGAATTCATAATTCTATTCCATAGACGTTCCCAGTTAATTGCATATTGCCTAAGTGGTTTAAATCGCTTAACATTGCTAACTATGTTGTTACGATATCATAACAACAGAGGCATTTTTCACTGGGTTGCCATATCTTGACTCTGTCTTGTCCCTACGAAGAAGCCAGCAGATGAGAAAATATGAAAATACTTAAAACATTCTTTTGATTGGCTTAAGTCATCGGTTGACTTTTCGTAGGGGAACAAAGAAGTCTTAGGTTGACTTAGTTCGATTTTGGCCCTACACTCCTTTATTCTTTTCGAAAGAAGTAAGCCGATGACTTAAGCCAGTCAAAAAAGCTCTTTATGTGCTTGCACCTTTAAGTCATCGGCTGGGTTCTTCGGAGATGAACAAATGAGCATATGACCAAAATCGAACTAAGTCAACCTAAAACTCCTTTGCACCGCTACGAACATGGCAGAAGAATACATCGACACAGCTACTGGGACAATGAACTGTCAAACCGATTTTGATATTGAAAATCGTGAATGAAAAATTATTGAAATTTGTAAAAATTGTTGAAAAATACATATCATTACAACATCCGCGTTGCGTCGTATAAGAAAACATATAAAAATCGACTTATTTTTGACAAAGCACTTAAAAAAATTTGACATATCAATGTTCCCAGGCGTTGATGCATCTACCTATATTCTTCTACTATGGCTACGAAGAAACCGGCAAATGACTTAAGCTGGGAATACATAAAGCGCTTATTTGGCTGGCTTAAGTCATCGGCTGGCTTCTTCGGAAATGAACAAAGGAGCCTAGGGTCAAAATCGAACTAAGTCAACCTAAAAATCCTTTGTTCATCTACGAAGAAGCCAGCCGATGACTTAAGCCAGCCAAATATGCGCTTTATGTATTTCCAGCCTTATGTACTTGTACTCATGGTACAATAAAAAGGTAAGGTAGAGCTACCAGCTGATTACAATTTTTTCTAAGTGTGCCCGACCTCTGCCAATTTTGTGTGTGTATTTATTGTTTTGAAAAATAAAAACAAAATATTTTCAAAATCAATGATGGGAAGAAACTTAAATTGCGGGGCGCACATTAATGATATTAACCGGGTTTGCCACGGAATTGAAAGATTGAGCTCTTAGGATCGTATTTTTGAGAGAACATCCAGGCACTTCATTCATCTTTCGCCCTTTTTAGCTAATTTTAAAAAATGAACAAAAAAATATCAAATAAATGAAAACAACTTGTTGGATAAAAGTTTGAATAATTCTGACAGGAAACGGCCATAGCCTCAGGGCTGTATTTTTGTAGTTTTACGATGGTAGAACATTCTTATTGTACCATGCTTTTACCTTTAAGCCATTCAGAAAAGCGTTTTATGTATTCTCACTTTTAGTTCGATTTTGGCCCTCTGCTTCTTTGTTCTTTTCCGAAGAAACCACCCGATGATTTAAGCCAGTCAAAAACACGTTTTATATATTCTCACCTTAAAAGCTCTTTATGAACCTGCACCAAAGACGTGGAAGCATATATATGGAACAAGTTAGAAAGTTTGTTCACAGAAAATGTTATTGGTAAAAATGCTATGTAATCGTGTCTTTTGAGCTAACATGTATCTGTTGTGAGCAGCGCCTCTACATATTTTTCACATTAACTATTTTTCCAAAATGCATTTTGTCCAGTCTACCATTTTAGGTCTTTGCCTGCACGTTTAGCTTCTGACAAACCGTAAATACAATGTCGATCTGCAAATTCCTATTGTGAGACCAAAATCAATTTATAGATACCTATTGTAGCAATGAAAGGCGGTCGTCCTTTAGAACCCTATAACACTTAAGTAGAGTTGTATCTCTCTAATTGACAAACAGAATCGTAGAAAATCCCGAACAACACAGATCGAATAAATTGGCCAAGTTTCAACTTTCTAAAACCAAAAAAAAAACACATCGAAAAAAAAATAAATTCAAGAATTTGTTACTTGGAAAAACCCATAGTTGAATTTGTGAACCTGGTGTGCAACAATGGGGGAAGTACAAAAATACGTAAGTTGTTTTTTTCTCCGATGTCAATGAAACAATCAAAGGAAAGCTAAAAATAAACGCTACAGGTTTCCCGGAAAAACCAATTACCTGAAACCGTTACAAACGTTTTTTTTTTCTAATATTGGTATCGTTGGTTTTTTTTTTTCTAATATTTTTTTTTCAGATTCATCCACTTACAATAGAGGCAAAACTTTTTGTGGACAATATGAACAAGATATGTGCCACACGCGACTATTTCATATTAGATCCCCAACTGGTTGAAGCATTGGAAAATGTCATGACCACAATTAACGATTTCATAGAAAAGGCCAACACTGAAATTGTACCCACAGCGAAGACCCAACTCATAGAAATGGGTAAACTTCACAAACTTCAACGTATCTATCATTGTGGCCAATGTAAAGCTGATCTGGGAACACGAGCTAGTAAAGTAGCTTTACATTTGGCCGAAGATTGTAAATTGAAAGGTCGTACCAGTGAAACCTTGACCAAGGATGCACGCGAGGAATTAAAGAAAGAACGCAAGGAGAGGGCAGAGAAACGAAAGGAACAACGGCTTACGAAAGCAGTTGCGTTGAAGAAAAGTAAGCTTTTGTTATTTATTTATTTTTCTTTTTTTTTTCAAATATAGATTTCAGAATACTACTACTCAAAGTTGCCTTTGCAGCGGTCTTGGCCAGAAAACCCATCTGACAACTAAGTTTGCTGTCACAAGACATAATTGGGATTTGAAATATGAAGAGAGTCAAATAGCAATGGTACAGACCACCAAGTTTATTTAAAAATTCTCGACTCTTTTTGAGTTACCGACAAAAATAGTTAACTTTAAAATCCAACTATTTGATATAAATAATACCCTCCACCATTCGGTATGTGTGCTCTTTAGGAAAACGGGGACTTAAATATTCCATGTTTTGCCACACGAGTTAGAACCCATTGTAATCTACCTACACCAATTTTTAGACAAATCGGTTGAAAAATATGGCAAAAATCAAAGTCCCGAATCTCAGAAGGTACCGTAATATGGGGGTTATACCAAAACGTGGACCTATACATACAATGTTTCGCCACATAAGTTAGAACCCATTATGACCTACATACACCAATTTTTAGACAAATCCATGAAAAAATGTGGCAAAAATCATCAAAATTACGAATAACGGGAGGTACCGTTATATGGGGGCTATACCAAAACGTGGACCTATTTATACTATGTTCCGCCACGGGAGATATAACCTATTACGAACTACAAATACCAACTTTTAGACAAATCCATGGAAAAATGTAGCAAAAATCATCAAAATACCGAATATCGGGTGGTAACGTTGCATGGGGGCTATACCAAAACGTGGACCTATACACACAATGTTTCGCCACATGAGTTAGAAATCATTATGACCTACATACACACCAATTTTTAGACAAATCCGTAGAAAAATATGGCAAAAATCATTAAAATGCCGAATGTCGGGAGGTATCGTTAAATGGGGGCTATACAAAAACGTGGACCGATATATTTCATTTTCAATACCAACCATCCTAGACACAAAACAAATTGTTCTGCCAAATTTTGAAGCTCTACGTCAAATAATATGGGCTGTATCGTGATTTCAACAGACAGACAGACGGGCATCGTTAAATCGACTTAGAATTTAATGCTGATATATATACTTTATGGGGTCTACGACGTATATTTAAGGATGGATATAATAAGTTAAATTGGTGTCTATAGGTAGGTCTGAGCGACTTCTTTGATTTCGTCGCTAACTTACCTACAAATTCCGTTAATTTTTGTCGGCAACTCAAAAAATGAGTTAGAAAATTCCACTACTGATATAGGCCTTGGTCCGATCTCAAGGGGTTAATTACGCGAACAGACATGATTTTTTTAATTTATTTAAAATATTATTTTTGACCTCAAGCTCAGTCAATTGTTCTTATTAACAATCCAAAAGGTCGAAAAGCCAGAGAAAATATTTATATTATTTTTAATATCTCCTTTTGTTGCAAATACTTTGTTCTATGTTCTTTTATTATTTATTTTTAATTTCCCATATTTGTAGAAGCCCGCTTATTCCTTGCCACAGACCCGATTACTGCATTCACCCAACTTAGTACTGCTGTACAAATTGGCGAGAAACTGAAATGTATACCGGATTATGCGGCCATTGAAAACGATCTGTTGGAACAGATAAAACCGCTGTTTCCCAATCAACCCATAAAAATATATAAATTCGGCTCACGAATGTCAGGAATTGGTACACGTGACTCAGATCTGGATTTATTTATAGACATTGGAGATACGTTTAAAGTTTATCAAAATCGTGCGAACGATGCAACATTGGCCAAGTTGAAAAAGGTTAAACAAGTTCTGATTAATCACAAAAAGTCATGGAAGGGTCTGGTGGCCGTCGAAAAAGCTCGTGTTCCCATACTGAAGGTAATACATGGCCCTACCAGTATTGAATGCGATATGAATTTCTCCAATAGTTTGGGCTACATAAATACAAATCTTATGGAATACATATACGGACTCCAACCAACCGGTGAGTAATACAATGAAATAAATGTTGTGTGTGTGTCATTGGGTTTTTTTTTTAATGTTTTTGGTTTTGATTCTCGCAGCTCGTGTGCTTTGCATTTATATGAAAAGATGGCTCCAACTTATTGGCATGAAAAATGATTTCAATACTTACAGCATAAATTTAATGGTGATTTTCTATTTACAAACCTTGGAACATTTGCCACCAATTGCCAAACTGTTTGAAGATGTTAATATGGAAACAGCTCTTGTCATAGGACGTAAGTGCAAATGAAATCGATTTTTTTATTTTTGCTTTTATTAAATGGTTTCTATCTCATACAGCATGGTTGGGAACATTCACTTCAAAAAATCTTCAAGCTTTGAAAATCAAGTACCTTGACACCGGTAAACTATTTGATCTCATTGAAGGTTTCTTCAAGTTTTATCTGGAGTTTGATTATAACCGCAATGTTATTTGTCCATATCAAGGATCGGTGATTAGTAAGAAAGATTTGCATACATGTATGCCAGAAAGGTAAATTCTGAAATACAAAATTTGTATTGACAAATAAAACTGTTATTTCTGTTCTGTATTTTCTATTTTTTTTTTTCTAGATATCTAAACTTTGTGGCCAATAGCAAAGATTTGGAAATTGAACTAAAAAAACCGTTGGTTGTTCAGGATCCCATACAACTCAATCATAATGTGACAAAAGGAATTGTTGACTTTACATTGAAAGTATTCCTAGAGTTTATGTCGAAATCTAGACAAATAGTTTTACAATCTAAAAGCCAATGATTTAATTTGAAATCGGACAAGACTAGAAGTTATTTTAATTTTATATTACTAACAAATAAGTTTGTTATTTTTAGTGTTATCTACAATGATCTTTTTATTGTCTTGAAAAATGAATTGAAAATACGTTTTTATTTTTGTTACAATAAATATATACATACACATGTATACAGGTTGAATGAAAGCAAAACATGACGGAAATAGTAACAAATTTTAGAATAATTTTAGATTTCTTTGAATTGGTCACCTTGGGCACGAATTATGGCCAATGAAACCGACACACGCTGCCCGAATGTTGGTCTACGGTATTTTGTGGCCCATTCCCGGTGAAGCGCTTGCTTGAGGTGATCGACACTCGGGTATTTTTTTTTAGTGCCAACCTTGCTTTCCCAAATACTCCAGACACAATAGTCCAACGGATTGGTATCCGGAGATTTTGGTGGCCATTGTGCGCTGGATATGAAGCGAGGAACCTCATTTTGTAACCATTCTTGGGTGGCGTGTGCTGGGTGCAACGGTGCTGGGTCCTCCAGAATATTTTCGCAATAATATTGGGCATTTATTCTGATGTCACGATCGATTAATACGAGCAGAGAGCGACCATCGGCTGTTATGGCGGCCCAAACCATCATCATGGCCGGCACTTAAGTTCTGGTGGCCAAACGAAGGTGCACATTTGCAGCTGACCTTTTTGGCAGGTGAATACGATCATTTTGTTTTGTTTTTGTTTACAAACTGCTGGACAACTAATGTTTTCTGATCGGAGACCAAACCAATCAAATTCGGCAGTTCACCACTTTCGGCCAAGCGAAGCAACTCTTTAGCTCTTTTGAGTCTATTTTCTTTCTGTTTTGCGGTGTAAGTTCTTGCACTTTTCGGCTGTTATGGCGGCCCAAACCATCATCATGGCCGGCGCATAAGTTCTGGTGGCCAACCGAAGGTGCACATTTGCAGCTGACCTTTTTGGCAGGTGAACAACGAATGTTTTCTCATCGGAGAAACCCAAATTCTGCAGTCTATTTTCTTTCTGTTGCGGTGTAAGTTCTTGCATTTTTTTGAATTTCAATGGCTTTATCCCGAGCTAATTTAACGATATTTTCCGAATGGAAGATTGCGATATGTTCAGTTCACGAGCCATTTTTCGGCACCTGCGACGGGGGTTTCGATCAAGTCCCATCTTTACTCATTTTCAAACCATTTCTGCTGATGTTGCTGTTTTCTTCCTTCCACTTCCTTGACGTCGGCCTACGCTACTAGTATCACGGTAAAAAGACACAAAAAATTTATTCACATTTAAAGGCTGGAGTGCTCTAACGATAGCCACTTGTGGTTTTCCAGCCGAATATAAAGAAATCACACTATCACGCATCAATTCCATTGCGAATAACTCTTTTTCTGGAAAATTCTCACCAAAATGCTTTTCGTTCGCTTGTAAACAATATAATGAGCTGTCACTGGAATAATTTTAACAGCTGTCGGACGTGTGGCTTAGAAATGGCAGCAGTCTGAAGTTGGTTGCAGTTCTTTCATCTCACCCTTTATAGCTGCGAACACCTTCTGGTATCTAACACCCAAAGAGTTGCAATTTTCAATACTTGTATCTATCATAACTTGCGAAACAATTCGGCGATTCTTTACAACTTGTGCTACATCTAAATATTTCTCTTGTGAATATGTAATTTATCGGAATTTATGATTTCGCATAAAATTGGATATAAATGTCAGATTTCCTTCAAATTTTACACATACCAATATTTTTATACCCTCCACCTTGGAAAGGGTATATTAACTTTGTCATTCCGTTTGTAACATCCTTAAATATTCGTCGTAGGCCCCATAAAGTACATATATTCATAATCAACATAAAATTCTAAGTCGATTTAACGATGTCCGTATGTCTGTCTGTTGAAATCACGATACAGCCCACATCATTTAACGTAGAGCGCCAAAATTTAGCAGAGCAATTTGTATTGTGTCTAGGATGGTTGGTATTGAAAATGAGATATATCGGTCAACGTTCTGGTATAGTCCCCATATAACGGTACCTACCGATATTCGGTATTTTGATGATTTATGCCACATTTTTTCACGGATTTGTCTGAAAATTGGTATTTGTAGGTCATAATGGGTCCTAGTTCGTGTGGCAAAACATTGCATGTATAGGTCCACGTTTTGGTATAGCCCCCATATAAAGGTACCTTCCGATATTCGGTATTTTGATTATTTTTGCCACATTTTTTCACGGATTTATCTGAAAATTGGTATTTGTAGGGCATAACGGGTACCTGTACGTGTGGCAAAACATTGCATGTATAGGTCCACGTTTTGGTATAGCCCCCATATAAGGGTACCTCCCAATATTCGGTATTTTGATGATTTTTGACACATTTTTTCACGAATTTCTCTGAAAATTGGTAATTGTAGATCATAATTGGTCCCAGTTCGTGTGGCGAAACATTGTATGTATAGGTCCACGTTTTGGTATAGTCCCCATAAAACGGTACCTCCCGATATTAGGTAATTTGATGATTTTTGCCACATTTTTTCACGTAATTGTCTGAAAATTGGCATTTGTAGGTCATAATGGGTTATAGCTCCGTTGGCGAAACATTACATGTGTAGGTCCACGATTTGGTATAGCTCCCATATAACGATACCTCCCGATATTCGGCATTTTAATGGTTTTTGTCACATTTCTTCTAATGTTTCCTGGTGGAGGGTATTAAAAGTTTGGCCCGTCCGAACTTAATGTTTTTTTACTTGTTCTGTATCTGTATTAGATGAAGTATGAAAATGGAATACTTCGGTCCGCTATATCTGTTACCTCACGCATACTTCCAAATTTTCCAAAAATATGCTCATATCTCCGATAAATAATAGGACTTAGTCGATATAGTCAAAATCTGGCACATTGTAATATTTATATCCGTCTTAGGTCACATACGAATTGGTCAATATTGGCCCAGTGCTTGGGAACCTCGCCCACAAATGGTCAAATGGTTTGTGTAAACATAACTCAAGGCTGGGGCTATACATCTGTCGGCTAAACCGACTGACACTATTTGACTTGTTTTAAATGAATTTCAATACAAAGTTGGCGTTAGACCAACCAACAGTCAAAGTAAGACTGATTCTCAGATCAATTGTGCTCATTTTTTGTTATATGTCATGAGGAGTATGTAAATTTAGAATTGTTATCAGGCATCACCTTGACCCGTCTTTTATTCGATGCTATCTGTGTTTTTATGCTTCTCAGGGAAAAGTCTAATCGACAATGTTGTTAGTCTTTGTCAGGCATTGAAATATCGCGTACCAAAATGATGGTCTTCAATAGCATAGCCAGCGCCGTTTTGGCTGTGTTAGTAATTGCTGCAGCCGGGATGTGTGGCGAAAGCCTTTTTTTAGTATGTTTCATGTAAAATACACCGCGAGAGAGAAAGGTCAAAAATTATATTCTTACCATATACTTTTTCCATATTAGCCAGTTTGTAGTGGAGACGCCTGCCCTGAGGGCTATGTGTCAACAGTGATTAATGGCATGTGTGGCTGCTCTCCCAGTGGACAAAGGCGTGTGCATTGCCCGGAAGGATCGGTTTTCGAAAATAATCAGTGTCGCAAGATCGTTTGTCCCGACGGCGAATTCTACAGAGGGATGTGCTTGCGGGCCATGTGTCCGCCCGGCATGGTGTGGCGTGGTAAAATGTGCCAAGAACCCGAATATCTCACCACAATTCTGCAAATAGAAAATGTGGTGACTAATGAGGTGCGCAGACGACCTGCCTATCTGGAAGTTAGAACACGAAATACCACTACACAAAACGGTGTCAATACATCTAATTTCGGAAATGTTATAAAATCCGAAGATTTCAACTCTAAGGATATGGCTAAGGATTCGCCAAGCCAGCCCAAAGGCTCCACAAAGCACTCGGAACTCACAATGCCCAAAAACGCATTTAACAATCATTCGAAAAAGAGCATTGAATTGCCGAGCGGAGCAGGAGCAATGGGCAATGCTGCGCCAACATTCGTGGGCTGTTGCACAGTGTATACACCTCGCATTTGCAAGATATATGGCCAAAAATGGATTTGCTTCAATCGCAAGAAGGATTCATGCGACACCAGAATATGCACTGCTGCGATAGTGTACCTCAAGCCGCCAGAAATTAAATACAGCCATCCAACTCTAATTATACCCCCATCCACGGCATCAGCGACAACAGGAGGTATTCCACCGCCGGCCAAGAGCATTTCCCCTTACCCCAATATTTTGTGCTAAGACCTTTTTTTCTTTCTTCTTTCCAGCTGATAATAATGTTGCTCCCGACTGTTCCGGCTGTGCACTCAATCAACCAGAAAAATGTTCCGCTTATTGTTCCACTTATAGATGTCCACCGGGTGTTTGTGAATTTAAACCTTTAGAGGAATACTGTCGCCATTATTCTGGACAATTCGGTTGTACACCAAAGGATGGATGTTTATGGGATTGGTGTTGAGTACTAGGATTCGAAACGACATTTATTCAAGCTTCTACCGTTTCGAAATTATGATTATTCCAAGCCTGAATTTAAAAACCCTGCAAATGAAATGATGGAACAACTCTAATTTAGTAAAAACTCTTCAATTTTTCGAAAATTGTTTCCAGAGGTAGGTATTTTTACCCTGATTCCGGGGCCCCAGATTTTTGACCCGAAAGTCCGCGTTCAATACCCGGGAAAGGTAAGAGTCTCAGCTACAATTTGGCATCAAATTTTGTTAACCCCCCTAATGGGCCCTTTTTCCACTTTTTGAGGGTCAAGAAAATCAACAATTTTACTATAACTTCCGAACCGCTCATTGGTGCGGGACTTGAACCCGGAATTTCGGGTCCAAAATCTGGGGTCACGGAACCGTCTCCCCGAAAAAATTTGCTTCCCGGAATCCGCATAAAAATACCTACCACTGGAAAAAATTTCCAACAAATTTAAGAGTTTTTACTAAACTAGAGTTAAGCCGAAATGATTTATCAAAAGAACAGAAACACTACTAGAATTCATTGTTTTTATTTAGTTTGTTGACCTTTTGGTTATGTGGCAAATAAAAGACAAGATTTTAACTGCATTGCTTCCCGATGTTTCGTCACTTTTTTGGGCGATATCTTCAGAGGAGTTCGTTTATTTATATAAACAAATGGTAGAAGAATATTGATATGTCAAAATTTTTTATTATGTGCGTTTTTCAACAATTTTTACAAAGTTGAATAATATTTCATTTAAAATTTTCCAATCCAAAATTGGTTTGACAGTTCATTGTACCATCACCTGTATCGATGCGTCTATCTGTGTTCTTTTACCCTATTTTGACTGGCTTAAGTCATCGGCTGGTTTTTTTGTAAATTAACAAAGAGGCTTTAGGTTGATTGAGTTCCATATTGGCCCAGAATTTATACTGGTTAAACCTATGCTCCTTTGTTCCTACTCGGATGGTGCTCTCACCGTTATTGTTTCTTTTCACAATTCGTGATCCAAAAAGAGTTTTCATACTCAACAGTTAAATAAAACACAACCCTTAGTGTTGCCAACCTCACATATTCACAAATTGTATTCCTTCATTCTCCATTACTCTTTCACACATAAATTTGCTACGGGAACTCATTTGTTCCTATATGAAGAAGCCGTAATCGGCAGGCCAGTAAAAAAATGTTCTATGTGTTCTCACCGTTATTCTGTTTCTTTTCACAATTCGTGGTCCAAAAATGAGTTTTCATATCCAACAGTTAAATAAAACACAACTCTTAGCGTTGCCAACCTCACATACTCACAATTTGTTTTCCTTCATTCTCCACTACTCTTTCACACATAAATTTGGTACGGGAAAACTCCTTTGTTCCTATATGAAGAAGCCGTAATCGGCTGTCCAGTAAAAACAACTTTTTCTATGTGTTCTCACCGTTATTCTGTTTCTTTTCACAATTCGTGGTCCAAAAATGAGTTTTCATACTCAACAGTTAAATAAAACACAACTCTTCGCGTTGCCAACCTCGCATATTCACAATTCGTATTCCTTCATTCTCCACTACTCTTTCACACATACATTTGTTACGCGAAAAAATCATCCCTGAGTTCTCAAATACACAAATATTCCCTCAACTGACAACACTGTGACATGAAATACAGAAGGAGCTCGTGAAAAAAATTATTCATTGGAAAAAGATTTTATGAAATAGTGATAAAAAGTTAAAACAATTAACTATATTATGGAGCCAATGGCTGAAGTCAATACCAACGATGAGGTCAACAACAAAAATGAACTACCAGAAATTACCGAAAATCCACAGACGGCAGCAGCTAATGGCGTTAGTCCATCGGGGGCAGGTGTAGCAGCGCAAAACCAAGAAAATGCTGAGACGTCAGAGAAAAATGATAAAGAATGGTAAGATCTACATACTAAATATTTTGTGTGCTTGAGAAAATTAAATCAATCTCATTTAGGTTACAAGGCCAAGTGCAAAAAAACCCCATAATGACTGCACCGCCTGGATTTAGGCCTGCTGCAGCTGGTGCGGGTGCTGCTGTTAGGGGTGGCGGTGTAAATATGCATTTTAATAGGGGCGGTGGCAGAGGCGGCGGCGCTGGTAATTTTGGCAATCGCCCATTCGATCCAAATTGGTCCAATAATAATGTACCGCCCGGTGGACCACCGGGTGGAGGACCCCCACAGTTAGAGCTGTGGGTGGAAACCAAAACCGAAGATGGCAAATCATATTATTATCATGCCCTGACAAGAGAAACTACTTGGACCAAGCCCGAGGGACCAAACATCAAAGTTATGACCCAAGCTGAAATTGAAGAAATGAACAAGAAACAGCAAATGATGCAGCAGCAGCAACAACAGCATCATACCCAAAACCAGTCAAATGGTGGTACTGAGGAAAAGGATAAACCCGAAACAGCTGTTATTACCGATAAACCACCACCAACAGCAGCGGCGGCCGCGGTGGCAGCGCCGTCGAATGTTTTAACATCACAGCCACCACCAGGGTTGCTATCGCAACCACCTCCAAATGCCCATCAACAACCGCAGCAGCAACAAGTGCCCCAGCAACATGCACCACCACATCAGGCAATGACACAACCTCCGCCTAATGTTGCCGCAGCAGTGCCTGGCGGCCATCCTCAAGTAAGTCAACCACCACCTGGTATGCATCAACAACCGCCACCATTCTTTCCGCCTGGTGTCCATCCACCTAATTTTGGTCAACATCCTCCCTTCGGAATGCCTCCACCAGGCTATGCGGCTGGATTTCCAGGAGCACCTGGTGGTCCTGCCGCCCCTTGGGGAATGCCCTGGAACCACATGCATCAAGTTCCGCCACAAGATAAACCTGCCAAAAATCTCATCATTAAACCTGGTGTTATCGATCCAGCAGTTATAGCGCGTGCCGCCGAATGGTCGGAACATAGGGCTCCCGATGGCAGACCTTATTATTATCATGCTGGACGTGGGGAAAGTGTGTGGGAGAAACCGCAAGCATTACGTGACATGGAAGCCGCACGTATGGCTGCTCATGGTGCCCCACAAGTTGCTGCCCCACCTCCCGTTCACAATCCAGCTTTGATACCTGGTATACCTCCACACCTGATACCGCTTATGCACATGCAACCGGCAAATCATGCTGCCGCATTTGTTGATCACTCAGCCGCCAAGGCTGCAGAGAGTGCAAAAGTTTCACAAACGGCTGCCCTTGAGAAAGAGGCTAAAAAGTATGCCGAAGAGAAACGCAAAAAGGCCGAAGAAGAACAAAAGAAAGCAAATGCAACAGCAAAGCCGGTGGATAAGAGTAGACCCATATCCAGCACGCCAATACCGGGTACACCATGGTGTGTTGTCTGGACAGGAGATGCTCGTGTCTTTTTCTATAATCCTTCAACGAGAACATCGGTCTGGGAGCGTCCAGAAGAGTTGCTCGAACGCGAAGAAGTCGACAAAGCAATCAACAATCCACCGGAACAACTAAAGAGTTTGGTCAATGCCAAAGCAAATGCCAAGGAAGAAGCTGAAGCTGAGGAGAAAGCAGCAACAAATCACAGCGCCGGCAATTCTGTGCCAAGCAATGCTGTAAAAATCCATACCATTGAGGACAATCAAGCCGATGATGAAGATGACGGTGTGATAAAAATTAAAACAGAATCGGATTCAGATGTTGAAGAAGTTCCCACCAAGAAGTTACGTTTAAGTAAGTGTACTATTTTGTGGTATAAAAAAAATTAAATTTAATTTATTTCTACATTTTTTAGATAAAACGAAAAAGGCTGATGCCAGTGAAGCTGCTGCCGAGGCTGAGGTGAGGGCAGCCAAAGAGAGAGCCTTGGTACCCTTGGAAACCAGAGTAAAACAATTCAAAGAAATGTTAAGAGAGAAGGATGTAAGTATTGCAATAAAAATTGTTTAAATATTTAATAACTTATTTGGTATTTGGATCAGGTATCTGCCTTTAGTACATGGGAAAAAGAGCTGCATAAAATCGTCTTTGATCCCAGATACTTGCTGCTGACATCCAAGGAACGCAAGCAGGTGTTTGAGAAATATGTAAAAGATCGCGCCGAAGAGGAACGCAAAGAAAAACGCAACAAAATGCGACAAAAGCGTGAAGAGTTCCGTAATCTCTTGGAAGAATGTAAATTGCATGGAAAGTAAGTAGTAGAGAACATAAATGGTGGTGGTGTTTAAGAGTTTTGATTTATTTTCAAAGAACCAACATTTGAAAATCTTAAATATTTCATTTTTAAGATGACAACGAGCTTTTTTAGAAATATTCATTACTTACAACATAAACAATTCTTATTTAAAAAATCTGCAACATAATTGTCACACCGACAAATGATACATATCCTGTATTAGCAGGATGGATGCTTGAATTCGTTTTCTTTGACCGTCTTGTTTTTTTAAGATCTTGAATCCTACCTGAAGAAATGGTCCGATTTCTACCATCTTTATGGCAAATCTTGTGTCGATGGAAATATTAAGATGCACCTAGTCTGAAGAAATTGAAGATTAATTTCGAGTTTTATGAGCTTCATGGATATTCAAAATTTTGAACCTTTGTGGGGGAGGTGCCAGAAGGAGTGTACCGATACATTCCATCTTCACAGCAGATCTGGTATTAGTAGAAATAATGGGATGTGTGTAAGTTGAAGAGAACCGGATGCTTATTTCGGATTTTATGACCGCTTTGGTTGTTCAAAACTGTACCCTTGGTAGGGGAGGTACCAGAAGGAATGGCCCGATCTCTACCATCTTTAAATCAGACCTTGTGTTGATAGAAATATTGAGATGTGCCAAGTCTGAATGGAGTCGGATGTTAATTTCGCGTTTTATGAGCTTCATGGATATTCAAAATTTTGAACCTTTGTGGGGGAGGTACCAGAAGGAGTGTACCGATACATTCCATCTTCACAGCAGATCTGGTATTAGTAGAAATAATGGGATATGTGTAAGTTGAAGAGAACCGGATGCATATTTCGGATTTTATGACCGTTATGGTTATTAAAAACGTTGGCCCTTTGTGGTGGAGGTACCAGTAGGAATGGTCTGATCTCTACCATCTATATAACAGATCTTTTGCTGATGGAAATATTGAGATGTGTCAAATCTGAATGTAATCGAATGTTAATTTCGTGTTTTATGATCTTCATGAATATTAAAAACTTTGACCCTTTGTGGGAGGGGTACCAGAAGGAGTGGACCGATATATTCCATCTTCACACCAGACCTTGGGTATTTAAAAATAGTGTGATGTGTGTAATTTGAAGAGAACTACATGCATATTTCGGATTTTATGACCGTTTTGGTTATTAAAAACTTTGGCTCTTTGTGGTGGAGGTACCAGTAGGAAGGGTCCGATCTCTACCATCTTTATAACAGGTCTTTTGCTGATAGAAATATTGGGATGTGTCAAGTCTGAATGGAATCGGATGTTAATTTCGTGTTTTAAGAGCTTCATGAATATTAAAAACATTGACCCTTTGTGGGAGGGGTACCAGAAGGAGTGGACCGATATATTCCATCTTCACATCAGACCTTGGGTAATTAAAAATAGTGTGATGTGTGTAATTTGAAGAGAACTACATGCATATTTCGGATTTTATGACCGTTTTGGTTATTAAAAACTTTGGCTCTTTGTGGTGGAGGTACCAGTAGGAAGGGTCCGATCTCTACCATCTTTATAACAGGTCTTTTGCTGATAGAAATATTGGGATGTGTCAAGTCTGAATGGAATCGAATGGTAATTTCGTGTTTTAAGAGCTTCATGAATATTCAAAATGTTCACTCTTTGTGGACGAGTTAACAGAAGAAGTGGACCGATATAGCCAATCTTCGCCCCAGACCTTGGGTTAGTAAAAATATTGTGATGTGTGTAATTTGAAGACAATCAGACACTTACATCACATTTTATAAGAGTTATAATTATTCAAATTCGGGCAATGTGAATTTCCGGAATTCTTTTTTTAACCACCTTTTAAAATGATTATCCGATTATGATTCGAAAATATATTTCAATCCCCTTTTCCCCCATTTATTTATAGATCCTCATTCAGTGATTTTTGTCAACGCTATGGCAAAGATGAACGTTACAAGGCCATTGAAAAACCACGTGAACGTGAAAGTCTTTTCAATGAATATCTCTTGGATGTGAGGCGCCGTGAAAAGGAGGAGAAACAAATGAAGAAAGAACAGGTATGTAAAACAAACACTTGTATTTACTTGAGTAAGATTAAAATTTGAACATTTCTCCAAAGGGGAAGTCCCTTCTTCTTCCCCCAGGAAGGGAAATCCCCGATGAAAATTCAAATTGTTAATCTAAGGTTGTTGGTGAAAATATAAATGTTGTTTTTTCTTGAAAATTTTTGTAAAAAGAAAAACTTAAACTTATTTACATATATTCTTAGTATTACTTATGTACTATTTTTATTATTAATATTACCTCATATACATATATTTATATATTTTTGTTAAAACCACTTAGCATTCCTTTTCCTAACAATAACATTACACATATTTATATATAAAAAAACCAAACATTTTTAAAAGATTTCAGTATACAGTTTTTGCTACTGCTACTGCACAACGTATTATGCAGTCTTCTGTTAATGTGTGTTGTAATTTTTGTTTTTATCAATTAAAAACACGCGAGAGTCCATTTCAAAAATGCCAACGAAACCCCCTCGAAAATATTCAGATGGTGGTTGCTAAAATATATTTTTGGTTGGAAGAAGTGTGAGAGAACGAGGAAGGTATATTAGGCTTAATATGCCGCCTTTTGAGAGAAGCAAAACAGCAGGAGTAGAGTAAGTGCGTCTAATCGCTTTTTATTAGCAAATTTTGTTCACCATATTGTTTAGCAAAAAACCTTTTTTTGTTACCCAAAACATTTTCCAATATCCAACGACACGTGAAAAAACCAAAAATCAAAAAAAAAAAAAAAAAAAAAACAACCACAGAAAAACAGATCCGACAACAAAGCTATATTCCCAACATGAATGAACGCCAGTGAGCGGGTTCGGGCCGTGTGTCTCTGAAGCTGTTGCATGGAGTATGGCAGTATTCACCACTATCACGAAAAACACAAGGACGAATGTGCACGACTTTGAATTGGCCCTGTATTGAGAACTAAGCTAGATTTACAAACGTACATAATATTTTCCACAACTGTTGTGTGGTGAGTTATCCAAACAAAACAAAAAAAAAAACAAACTTCCCTATTCTAACAGAATCAGTTGAATGTTGATCAAATAAAAAAAAAACAAATTAAACGTCAAACAATATACCAATTTGCTGACCTTTATCGTTGGTGCCTTTTTGCATCCTTCTGTTAGGCCCATGGATGGTCCGATGGATGGATGGATGAATGGATGGATTGGTTGTGCTTGCCTGCCTGCTCATAGAAAAATTTTGCTGCTGCTGCTGCTGATTTTGTCGCCAAGGAGTCCAGCCAGCCCACCACCACCACCTCAATGCAAAAGCAAATAGATTTCTGTATCCTGCGCCAGTGTTTTCAAGAAGTCATCTTTACAATTTCCCTGTCATTGTCATTGTGATGATGCTACCACCACCAACACCTCCAAAAACCACCGGACACTGTTTGCTGAGAGAAAGAACATCAGTCCACTTTCGTTGAAACAGTATGAAAACATAATACCTCTTTATGTTTTTTTTTTTCTTTCTATTTTTTTTTTGATTTTTTTCTTAATACAAAACTTTTCTTCCAGCATTATTGTGTGTGTGTGTGTGTGTGGCGTAAATAATATTTAATATGTCGCGAGCCAAATTTATGGCACAATTTTGATATTTATCATTTAACCTAAGGAAGAAGATCTGTAGATGCTACTGTGTCTCTAGAACAAGACTTTTGGAGTTCTTTTGTCTCTAAAAAGATCGATGGACATTTTTCGTTAAAGTCTTCTTGAAGACTTGCAAAACATAGGAGGACTTTTGGAAACGTTTTCAAGGCCTTAAAGATTTTGGGCCATTGAGGGCGTCTAAGAGGTCCCCTATACACAGAAGATACCTCAAACTTCTATCTATAGATGGCATTTTAATGGTTTTGACCCATAGGCAACCCTATATGAATCTTTTTTAGATCAAAGATCGTTTAATAATGAATAGAAGACCATACAAAAATACTTTATGTCTTCTTCTGTCAATAGAAGGCATTTTAATGATTTCCACCCATAGACAATATTTTGAGAATCTTCTTTGAGTCGAAGATCGTTTAAAAATGGATAGATGACCCCAAAAAAATCCTTCTATGGATGGAAGACTTTTTACAGATCCTCTGTGAATAGAAAACATTCAACGGACCTTTTATTTATAGAAGATTTCCAAAGGGTATTTTATATAAAGAGGACCTTAAGGGGATTTCCTATGCATTTCCTATGCCTTCAAAGGATTTCCTTTCTGCAGAAGGCCTTCAAAGGATTTTTTATTGATAAAAGACTTACAAATGGACTTTCAAAGTCCTCTCATATGGATAGAAGACGTTAAAAGGATTTTTTTTTTGATCGGAGGCCTTCAAAGTGTCCTTCGGAAGGTCTTCTTGGAGTTCTCTTGTTTCTAAAAAATCGATGGAAATTTTTCGTTAGGTTAAAGTCTTCTTAGAGAATTGCAAAACTTAGGAGGATTTTTGGAAACGTCTTCAAGGCCATTGAGGGCCTTTAAGAGGTCCTCTATACACAAAAGAGACCTCAAAGTTCTTCTATAAATACATGGCCTAGGCAACCCTTTGAGAATCTTTTTTAAATCAAAGATCTTTTAATAAGGAATAGAGGACTCTAAGAAAATCCTCTCACTGATGGACTTCTGTCTTCTATCAATAGATGGCATTTTAAGGGTTTCCACCCATAGACAACCTTTTGAGAACCTTCTTTAAGTCGAAGATCGTTTAAAAATGGACAGATGACCCCAAAAAAATCCTTCTATGGATGGAAGACTTTTTACAGATCCTCTGTGAATAGAAAGTTTCCAACGGATCTTTTATTTATAGAAGATTTCCAAAGGGTTTTTTTTTATATAAAGAGGACCTTAAGAGGATTCCCTATGCATAGAAAGCCTTCAAAGGATTTTTTTTATTCATAAAAGACTTGCAAATGGACTTTTAAAGTCGTCTCAAATGGATAGAAGACGTTAAAAAGATTTTTTTCTTGATCGGAGACTTTCAGAAGGTCTTCTACGGATAAAAGACCTTTAAAAAGTCTTCTATGGATAGAAATTCTTCAAAAGTTCTTCTATGAACAGAAAACCTTAAAGGGTCCTTTATGTAACAAAGACCTTCAAAGGATCTCCTATAGATAGAAGACCTTCAAAGCAAAGAAGACCTTTAAAAGGTCTTCTATGGATAGAAATTCTTCAAAAGTTTTTCTATGGACAGATGCCCGTAAAGTATCCTTTATGTAACAAAGACCTCCAAAGGATCTTCTTTAGATAGAAGACCTTATGATTTTTTATATCCTCAGCCATATGGCTAGAGAGGGTATATATTATTTGATGCGGCCAAAACGTGCCTCAGCGAAATAACGGTTTTGGACCCTAGGTCTCTTTTGGACCAAATTCGTTTTAGGACTTTTGGAGTCAATCTAACAATGTCGGTCTGTCCGTCTGGCTGCCTGGCTGGTGCGCACGATAACTATCGAAGGGAGTATCCGATTTAATCCAAACTTTGTACATCGTAACATTATTATCCAACTTGGATTGAGTTCAGAGATGGACAATATCGGTCCACTCATTCTGGTACCTCACCCACAAAAGTTAGAAATTTTCAAAAATAATAATTTACTGCACAGAAAAAGGAAGAATAATCCGATTTTGCTCTAACTTTGCAAATCCTAATATTTGCATCGGTGCTGGGTCAGGTGCAAAAATGGACAATATCGGTCGTCTCCATCAAGTATCTCCCCCACAAAGGGTCAACATTTTGAATAATTATAACTTTTAAAAATGTGATGTCAGTCTCCGTTTGTCTACAAATTACACGCATCTCAATAATTTTATTAAACCAAGGTCTGGTGTGAAGATGGAAAATATCGGTCCACTCCTTGTGGTAACTCCCCCACAAAGGATCAAAATTTTGAAATTCCATGAAGCTCATAAAACACGAAATCAACATCCGATTCCATTTAGACTTGGTATATCTCAATGTTTCTATCGACACAAGATTTGTTATAAAGTTTGTAGAGATCGGAGCATTCCTTCGGGTATCTCCCTTACAAAGGGTCAATGTTTTCAATAACCGAAACGATAATATTATCCGAAATAAACATCCGGGTCTCTTCAAATTACACTCATCACAATATCTTTACCAATCCAAGGTCTGGTTTAAAGATGGGATATATCGATTCACTTCTTTTGGTAGCTCCCCCACAAAGGATCAAAATTTTTGAGTACCCATGAAGTTCATAAAATACGAAATTACTACTATATAAAGATGGCCTCTTGATGGTCATCTCCACATATAGAATACCTCCAGAAGGTATACAATACAGCTACTTAAAGGTCTTCTGTTCTACCTACAGATTAAATACAAAGTCTTACTTTGTAACGAAAGATATAGGAAAATTTTTTTTTCCCATTTTCAAATTGTCGTCATCACCAAAAAATATTAAATATTATTTATGCCCACAAAACTTGTCGTCTATATATATATACAACTAATTTATATATAACCATGTGTACGTCTATATTTGTCCGTCCATCCGTATTTCAAATTCTTGTGCCTTCTTCCCAAAAGACGTACACACAATACATTGTCTCTCTCTCTTAATCTCTAGTATTTAATTTGTACGCAAGCTAGTTTTAAAAATTTTCCAATTTCTAAGATAACCCTAATGCATTGAAATTCTCTTACAGCCCAGACCACAGCAACAACCACAATGAAATGTAACTAGTCTATAAGCGTATTTTTTATATTAAACACACCTTAAGGTAGTCCATAAGATTTTGTTTGTAGT